TTATGAGACAACGGGGCAGGTGAACTGGCTAAAGAAGTTCATACCCGGTTTGAAGGTGGTTGACGACATCAATAGACCACTAAAGTTATACTGCGATAATAATCCAGCAGTACAGTATGCTCACAACAATAGGTCAAGTGGTGCTGCCAAACACATTGACATAAAATATTATGTTGTGAAGAATAAAGTCCGGGATCAAATGATAAGTTTTGAGCATATAAGTACCGAAAAGATGCTCGCGGATCCGCTTACAAAAGGCTTACCACCTAACGTGTTCAGAGAACATGTAGCCGGTATGGGTTTAAGAGAAAGCTTATGATTCCTGGACTATAAAGGGCCCAAAAGTTAAAGTAACTATTTCAGATCAGAGACGTGCATTGTAGCTGTTAAATCTATCGGCGATTGACCGTGACGATGAGACGTGCTCTATGCATCATCTGTGAAGAAATGAGTAAGGATAAAAGGATTGAAGTTTAAAGTTTAAAGATAAAAGTAATAGTGAGATCAAGAGGGAGAATGTTAGAGTGATCTCCCAACCAATAAGCCCAACGGCCTATTGGGCCTTGGTCACGCGCCCTGATCGGGGGCGCCCAACCCTACATGGTTGGTGGGCCCCCGTCGCACTGCGCTATATATAGAGGTGGGGGCCGACGGCTCGAGGTACGAGGTTCACCGTGAGCCGCAAACCCCACCGACAAACCCTAGACCGATCTAAGAGGGCGCGCAGCCAGCGACGGGAAGCTCCGCTGACTTCACCATCGTCACTGCTACGCCGTCCGTCTACACTGCATCGATGTCCGTGCAAATTCTACTCCACCCGTCGCTGCCCGTGTGCTGCCTCCATCACCGAAGCTGAGATGGCCAGCTCAACCGCGACTTCCTCCGAGGGCTCAGGTTCAACACCAGCACCCTTACCCTATCTCCCTCTCGGTGTAGTGTTCTAGGTTTAGATATGCATGTGCTATTACGGATCCAAGTGTCATCCGCCTAGATCTGATCCACAGAAATTAACAGAACGATGATCTTGCGCGCGTTCAGATCTATGTATCTCGCCGGCTAACGACGACGACGACTAGCTAGCAGAGGTAGGCTTTGAAGCTCCTTGCTGTTACGTACATGTACATACGGCTCCCCTCCGATCCTCCGCGTATATCATATATACTTATGCATGTACATGTGGCCTACGATCTGGTTTAGAGAAGGATTGGAATTGGTGTTCAGGTCGTCGGAGCCGGCCGCGAGTTTCCTCCTGATCGAGTACGTAGTACGTTGCCGGGCAGCGCAGCGCAGGTAGCCTGCCTGGGTAGCGAACGGTATCGCGTGGGGCTCACCGACAGTGCAGTGCTCCCTCGGCAGAGTGGACGACGGACGTCGGACGGTCAGGCACTCACCCTGACCGACCAGCAACCGCTCATCTCATCTGCCGAGGGAGAGCTGCCCTGCCACTCGACGCTACAGAGCTCCCACTCCAATCCATCCGTGTACTTGCACTGTGTTTGAGAATATCATCGAGGCATTAAGGTTAATAACTTCATTACATGATATAGATTTTCTTAATTTACAACCGTGTTTTACTAAAGGATTTGCATATGTTGATAAATAAACATGTCTAAATTCACCCGTGTGGCTGCTTGTTCGTCTACATCGTCATTTAAGGTTGACTTCAGCTTAGTTATTCTTGGGGGCACAGTGAAAAGCTGAGACGATTTCCATTGGTCTGAAGCTTCTGCACACAGCCACATGCAGCTCCACTACTTGAATCAAAGCAAAGGAATATATACGTAATTACATGCACACACTTGTAAAAAAGCCTAGGACAGGTCAAGGTTGTACATAATAGGAGGACTTTCCAACAACAAGAGTTTGAATGAGCCAAGATAAGCGGCGTTTTCCATAAGAATCATAAACGATGACATCCAACAATTCTCTTTGGCCATGGAATCCCAATCTATTTTGTCTTGATCTTTTTTTCATGGGAAAGAAGTTCATTTTATACTTCCTTAAACTATTGATATAATGTGATTTTTCTCCCTAAACTCCAGAACCAAATACCTTACCTCATGAACTCTCAAAACCATTCAAATTTCCTCCCAGGCCTAGTTTGAGGTGGTTTTGAAGTCAATTTTGTTTTTAGTTAAAAAATTAGTAAATACTCAACAAGATTTTTAAACCACATAAAATATCTCTAAGACTCAAAATCCTGAGAAAAATAAAAAAATATATAGGCTGGGATACAAAGAATCCAAATAGAATATTTAGAGCTCATGAAAAATATATCTAGTAGCTTCATAAAAAGACTTAACACTAGGAAAATAAGAAAAATATCCAGAAATATCTATGAAACCCCTACAACATTATAATCGTTGTCTTAAACATGTTTTGAAAACTTTGTATGGAAAAAGCATATGATGCATCTAGCATGAATACAACATACATTCCTGTTCGGCTTGCTAAATCTTGGCTGAAAGTGGCTGAAAACACTGTTCTGGCTGAATTGTTGTGAGAGGAAAACACTGTTCCGGCTGAAAAAACAAACCGAATAGTGCCGATTTTGGGTAAGCCGAACGGGGCCAAATGTTGAATGCATTCATGTTATGCATTTTTGTGCTCGTTGTATCTTACTTTTTTGTTGTGGAAAGCTGTCATAACGCAATTATACGTCAATTATATTTTTTGGGATTTTTTTTAGAATTTTGGATACTTCCACCATTTTTTTGGGCAAAATCAAATTTATAGTTCACGCAGGCCCCCTGCAGCTTGATCCTGGACCAGCCAGGCTTGGGCTGCCATTCTAGTTAGGCTCCAAGCGAACGGAGCTTTTCTTCAGCAATAATGATACAATTAAGGCGCCGTTCGCTGGTCCGGTTTTTCCAGACCAGCCGGCTCCTCATCCTCACAAAACATTGTTTATCAATCAACCGCTACAGTGTTTCTCTCTCACAAAACACCATTTCAGCCCAAGTTTCAGACAGGTGAACGGGGCTTAAGGCGTCAAGATGGACGGACGTCTTCCTCCGCTTATTCCCGCACTCGCTCATTCCTCCCGCCCCCTTCCCCCACCGCAGCATCTCCGCACCCACTGCACCCACGCCGCGATGCTCCTCTGCAGAGCCGCTCCCCCGCCCCCGCCCCCACGCGCGTCGCCCGAGCCACGCGCCCCGCTGCCTCCCACTCCCTCCTCCTGCTCCGACACGAGCACGAGCTCTGATCCACGTGGCCACCCCCCCGCGACCCCCTTCCTCTTCTCCGGCAGGCCACCCCCACCCTCAACTCCGGTGCGGGGATGGGCGCGAGCGCAGATCCGGCGCGGGCGCACATCCCTGCTCCGGCACGGCGGCGTCCCGGTCCACGCCTTCCGCCCGCTCCCCATCCCAGATCCCACCCTCCGATCGGGGCGCAACCGTGGTGGGTTCGATTCTCCTCCTATTGGGGCAGCAGATATGGATCAGGGCTGACGGGCGGTGGAGTCATACTGGCCATTCGTCCGAGCAGCAAGTAGATGCTGCGCTTGAAAGTACATGTTGCAAGCGTTTGTTTCAATTATTTTAGATGTTTCATAGGTATGTTGCAATTGTTTCATGCGGATGTTGCAAAAGTAGATCGAGATGTTGCATATGCTGCAATAGTTGTACAGTATGTTGCAAGCTTTTGTTTACAATGTTTCATCTGTTTTTTTTTTGCGAGGCAAGCTTTTGTTCCCAATGTTTCATTTTTTTTGCGAGTGTGTTTATGTATATGTTGCATACGTTTCACACGTACGTTGCAAGTGTTTTATCTGGATGCTGCATATGTTTTGCAATAGTTTTCAAGTATTTTTTTAGGTGTTTTTGCTAGTGTTTCATATACATGTTTCATGTGTTTCATCTGTCTTAAGATGTATGTTGCAAGTGTTGCATCCGGATATTTCAAAAGTAGATCGGGTGTTGCATCTCGTCCTCACTTCTGCCGCCTCCCTTCGCCTCGGTGCCTCCTCCTCCTAAGCATCGGCTGGGCATCCGCCGCCCCCTCTCCCTCTTCTCGATGCTGGTGTAGCCACTTGCTGTAGTCATCTGCTGCAATACTGGTCGCGGCATGCATGCGGAGGCGGAGGGGTGATGGGGACTCCCCGATGTGCAGATCTGAGGCGACGCGGGTGATATCCAGGCGGTGTGGGCCCCACATGGGCGGGCGTGGGATGCAGGTGCGCGCAGGGAGACGGAGTGCAGGCACCGGCATCCAGACGCGAGCGTCAGTCCGCACATTCGGACACGGCCTGTTCTCTTGGTCGTAAACGATCGTAAATTTTCAGCCAGAACAATATTTTTCTCACACACACCATATCAGCCAGCAGTAATAATCCCATATCAGCACCAGCCGAACAGGCTGACGCTGCCCTTTGTGGTTGGAAAAGTCGGTCCTTTTCATCCCAGTATATATGTTAGATGACTTTCAAACATCTTGTAGCTATCTTATGGTTGGTAGCACTGTGTTAAATGTCGGTTTGGTGCTTGTCCTTTGTGGATTCTGTGTGTGTGTGGGCTGGCTTCAGCCGCAGAGGCGACTCTTCACATCGACCAGCTGCTCCGCTCCGTGCTTCCTGGGGACGTACCCGAAGTGCAGGACCACCATTGTCTAAAACTTCTCTACTGAAAAACACTTTATCGAAAAAAACACTGTTCGACTAAAATGTCATGAGAGAAAAACACCATTCGGCTGAAAAAAGAAGTTTAACAAGCCAAACTTCAGACCAGCCGAACGGCACGATTCAACAAGAACAGAACACAGAATAGCACAGACTGCTGCCTTGAGGTAAAACAGAAATAACATCAAAGTATAGGGCACACACAAAAACATGGATCCAACTACAGTAGGACCAGTACAGGCAAAACTGATAACGCATCCGATTTTCTTCTAATACAAATCCCACCGCCAGATACACTTCATTAACTCGAAGCACTAAAAAGAGGGTCTAATATCTTATGGTAATGCTTAGGAGGTGTTGGCTTGGGCCTTGTTGAGGATCACACCTCGTACTTGACCTGGAACCACTTCATGGCATCCTCCTTGGTGACCCTGTGCTGGATCCCAACACGAGACTTGCACCTGCGACGACGGGCGACACGGTACCCGGCACGCTCAAGGACGACATAGAAGTCCATGCCGTAGATACCAGTAGACGGGTCATACCTTACAAAATGCAGCAACGGTTACCGATCATTAACAAGATGCAGCACATCACTCAGAAAAAGCTATAACAAGGAGTGGAAAAAGAGGAACTATACCCGCAACAGGGTAACAAATGATGTATTCCAAAATCCCAAATCCCTAAATGAAGAAGAAAATAGCCACAAACACAATGCCCACATATGTATACACTAAAGAAAACATCATTACAATATTCTCAAACGATCAATATAAAATAACTTAAACAATAAACAACACAATAAGGCCTTGTTTGGATGTAGTCGGATTCGCATCAATCAACATGGGTTGGGATGGATTGAAGTGAAACTTGAACTAAATTCCACCCCAATCCACTCCAACACATGTGGATTGACGTGAATCTGACAACATCCAAACAAGGCCTAAAATATGTTTGGCGCACCACAATACTATAAAAAGCCAATGTGGATACTGGATTCTGACCATGCAATAAACCAGTTACTGAATCAAGCATAACACGGCAACTCTTTTACAAACCCACACTAGACTAAAATTCAACAGTAAGCAGCTTTTTGAGAAAGAAAAACTTGACTGAGAGACAAATAAATGTCTTGTATTAATTGCTGCCGCTACAAGGAAGAATTTTGGATGTCACAATTAAATGACTAAAAATAACTTGGATATTTGATAAAGAAACAAATTGCAGGACATATTATAAAGAACAAAAAGATAATCAATTAGAATCTCCACTTGATCTGAATTTTCTTGACAGAAAATTATTACTGAAATGAACAACGAACGGGAATTCTTATGACTCAGCCGTATTAGTATATCAGCGAATGGAAAAGGCTGCCCAAAAGCTATCTTACAGCCAATCAGCAGTCTCAGTTCCCAAAACTGTGTTAAGCACTTATCCTTAAGCTATCCTAGTACGCAGTGACCCATAGTCGATACAGGCTACATGAATACAAAGTTACATATCTTTTCCCCTGCTTACAGGCAAGCAACAATGCCCATCATAAAAGCATCCATTCACAGAAACAGACACACCACATTCAAATTACTTAAAATCAGAGATGAGATCATCTTACTTGATGCCAAGATCAATGTGCTCTTGGATACCAAATCCAAAGCAGCCAGTCTCACTGAAGTTCCTCCTCAGCAGCTCGTACTCCTTCACCTTCAGGCCACTCTCCAGCAGCTGCATTGCCTTCTCACCCCGCACCGTCACATAGCACGCGATCTTCTCATTTCGCCGGATCCCAAACGACCTCACAGTGTACCTTGCTGCAATGTCACATCAAAGTTGCTATGACCATCATAAATCCAGGACCACACACCACTGATAACGTCAGGTTTAAGAAAATTACCCTTGGAGAACACCGGTGACTGGCCACTCAGCTGCTCCAGCACCTAATAAACAACCAGCGGAGGTTAGAGCAACTGTTCAGTGTGAACACTATCAACAGGCGACAAAGAACTAAAGCCTCATTTTAGCACTAAGAAATAAAAGCAAAATTGGCGCGTCATTCATCAGTCTCTAACTGAAATTATGGGAACAATAACTAACCACAGCTGATGTCGAAAGCAATCATACTACTACTAATTAACATTTGGATGGCGCAATTTAAGTGGTGCCAGCAACAATAAAGAGATTGGACGGCTTAAGGAGCTGAGATTAAGCTACAGTCAAGAACTGATTCTTACCCCAAAAAATAAAACCAAAACTGGACTAGTGGAGCACAAATAGATGCGATTCAAACACATTTGCTCTAGGTCACACAAGCGCAGAACGAACAGAAAGAAAGAAATGGCACTATTCTGGGGAATGGGCATATTCCGCATATACACCTTGGCGGCACGGGTGAGGCGATCACCGCTCTCGCCGACGGAGATGTTGAGCACGAGCTTCTGGACCTTGATCTCCCGCATCGGGTTCGACTGCTTCTTCTCCGACGCCTGAGATCGCAGGCACCCAAACAGAAACCAGCACACATCGTCAGAACCGCACACGCGCAAGGAACGAACGATTCGGTGGGCAAAGAAAAACAGAACTGGATGGCGCTAAGTGCAAAGCATCTCCGGGCGGGTAGGCAACGGCGAAGGAGGTGAGAGGGTACAGCAGCGCGGGGCGGGGGCGGCGGCGGCGGCGGAAGAAGAAGAAGCTTTGTAAAGAAACCCTAAATCCTACTATGCTTGTGTAATTTCGTGTGGTTTTTTTTTTACAAAAAAAAATTCCGTTGCCGGGACTCGAACCCGGGTCTCTCGGGTGAGAGCCGAGTATCCTAACCAGCTAGACTACAACGGATTTGTGTTTTGTTTTTGCGAGAACATGTATAGTTTTTTATTTGTGTAACTGTATTCATCAGTTCATTTCAGTAAATCAGCTGACCATGTTGAAGTCTAGTGACATAAACTATTAAATTTGGACGCTTTAGGTTGTTTTCATATATTTTCGTAGCTTCTAATGACTAATTCACACTTTGGATGCTTTAGGTTGTTTCTCATATTTTCGTAGCTTCTAATGGCCACCCATCGTGTAGTCAAGATGGATTCTTTTTGCTTGACTTTGATTACAGCTCCCATCTCCAAGTTCAGCTCCTTTTGAACTCATTTTTGAAATAGCTGCCTGAGGAGGTCCTTCGATTTCGCAGGAGCCAGTTCATACTCAAGATCAACCACATCAACAGCACCATCCCCCTTGCAACAGCACAAACCTTGTAGAGCCCTCCCAAAATACCCTCTTCAGAAACTGCTACTGAATGAACAAAAGCAGGGTTGAAACATTGCCCTGCACTACCGGAAGAACTGCCATTCTGCAATTCAGGTGATCCTGAAACTCAGTAATGAATATTATGTTGAATTGTTGATTGATCCGAATTGGAGAGTATTTTGAGGTGAAAAACAATACTGATACAGCTTTGTCATACATGAACAGAAACTAATATTTCTATGTAAAGCAAGGTGAACCGACTTTCCAATGGACAATATGAGGGCTCAATTTACCAATGCTTAATGGAAATGTATGAGATCAAGGAACTGCTAGGATACTCTTTTACAAAGACAAAAAGAACATGGAGCAGCCTAGGTAATGCAAGCTATTCACAGGTGTTCCATGGAAAGTAAAGGAGGTAACATAATCAATAGAAAACAATGTTCGTCCCTATGGAGAAATCCCATGCGGCGAGCTTTGAGTCAAGGCCACCAGTAATTGCTGCCAAATGAAAAATATTTATTATTGACAATAAAGGCATTGAAAAAAATAAGAATTAAAAGAAAAAGTTTTCTAGGATTGGCTCCCTAAAAGGTTGACAAAAAAGGAGCCACAAGACTACAAGATTAAGCCAAACAAAACCCTGAAAAAAGAAAAAGAAAATGATAACACTAACCTGTCCAAGGTCTCCAAGGAATGAATTGCACGCTGCTGCAAATCTGTATGAAAATTTATCAAGGAACAACTGACGTACATATTGCATATAGAGAGGAACTTATTGCACATTTTTAAACATAAAAATGAAACGCTACTACAAATACAAATTATCAAAAGCATCCAGTTACACCAGATAAGGATAAATTTGTGTGGGCTTCCCTTAATCTTTTATACGGGCACTTCTGAATGGTATTGACAATCTGCAAAATAGACCATAACTTCTCAAGAACAAAATCATTGAACAAGTACAAGATTAATCATGCCTATCAGTGTGTTGCACATATCTTTCTTCTAACTTGAGGCATTTATTCTACTGTTCTCCAGTTCCCAAACCCTCCTAGCAATCTACATGCGATTCAAAAAGTGTAACATAACAACCTCTTCTTGGTTTCAGAACAAAGCACAAATATATAAGCCGGTAAATTTGAATTCATAATGACAAACGATCTTACAGCAAACTTATTCTTCAGGAGCATCATTTGTGCCATTTTTGAAACAGAACATTCCAAAATAAATTACATACAATATGCTTATATACCTTAAGCAGGAAAAACAGTCTGCCCTAGAATTTGCTTTACTAGTCTCAGACAATAAACTTGTAAATTTTATATAAAATATTTGTCTAAATTTACTCATGTCAGCACTACAATGCCTGGAGGTATGCAAACTCTTTCAACACATTCATGCAACAACCTCAAAATAGCGAACACCAAAATCTGGAGAATGTGGTATTTGATATTTGTTAAAATGCAATGATCTTTGACATTTATGTTCATGCACTTGCAAAATATTCTATACCTTAACATCCCCACTATCATCTGCAGCAGCAGCGAGAAAACCTTTAGAGCTGACAGCAATCTGCATCAAAAAGTGGAAGTATCAGATTCTGAATCTTTAGCTCAATTCAATGTTATCATAAAGCCTAGAATAGAATTGTAGGAGAAAGATCACAGTAGAAGGATATTTTATAGTGGTTTTGTAGAATAGCATACTACCAGATTGATTTCATCTCTATTGTAGTTATACGTCTCTAATGGCTTTGATTGAGTTCCCTATAAGAAAACCACTGTAATCATGTTACTGACAAGAAACCAAGGCACAGGCGACATAATAGTAAGTTGGATCATATAACTTCAAACTAACAATAAAAAAATACAATTGAATTCAGAACTTACCATACGAACATCAAAGGACAATATTTCATTTCCAGCAGAGATATACACACAATCTTCATTTCCTACACAAATAATGATTTTGTAAGTGCAAAATGTCTGCACGCCCACCAAATATTCAATTCATGGGTTAACATACAAAGATGCTTGTATTTGGATGGCATACTGACCTGGTTTAATGCAAATTGAAGAAATTGGTTTATTTGCTGCCTCCATGGTCAAAAGTACATCTTTGGTGCGCAGATCAAACCAGCAAAGACATCCATCCCTGAGGCGGTAGGATAAGACATGAGAACAAGACAATTAACCCACCAAGGGCTCGAAAAATGGGGAAGGGGGGCAAATAGTACAAATCATATGCATAAGATTACTGCAATAGCCTCACCGCTGGTGAGGAAAATTTTGAGCTAAAGGAGCACTACAAGGATGGCATGATTGGATTTATATTTATTTTGTCAACAACAAGCACGAAGATTTTGTTAAACGGACGGACTGGGAGGCGGATCGGCCATGAGAGAGGTCTGTGCCAGGGTGACGTTGTCGCCAATGCTCTTTGTTATTGTCATGAAGGTGCTGAATGCACTTATTTGTTTGGCGGAACAATGTGATATTCTCAAGCCACTGGGCCATAGTGCCATCAAGTGCCAAGCATCTGGTGCGGATGATCTCGTGGTCCTGGTCGCTCCACTTCAATGGGATTTTTTTGGTCTTGACTTGAGAAGCAGTCTGGGTACATTCGACGAGGGGGGTGACCACTAACCAGGCTTCGGACCAACCTGGACAAGTGCCAGGTGACACCCATCCGGTGCTCCATGGCCGAACTTGCCTTCGATTAGGAGATTTTCAGCTGTCAGATTGCTCCTTTCCCCTGTCACTACTTAGGTGTTCCTCTCTCGATCTACAAGCTTGAACACAGCAAGGAGCAGCCGTTGGTGAACATGATTGTGGATAGAATTCCCACTTGGAAGGGCAACAAGCTAAATTTAGCTGGGCGGGCTACCTTGGTGAAGGTCACACACTCTGCAATTCCAATATTCATCTCCAGTGCCACCTGTTTGTCGGTATGGGCCATTGAACAGATTGATCTGTCACCCTACTGACCTTGGTGGCCTAGGTTTCCAGGATTTCTGTCTCTTTGGGTACGCCCTCAGATTAAGGTGGGAATGGCTTCACAGAACTGACCCAGATCGTACTTGGGTTGATCTTCTGAGCCTGGCTTGATGGTTCCTCAATTAGGCACGTGGCACAAAGCTTTTTTCATGTGGTCCCAAAGAGATGTGACAGTATGAATGTCCGTGAAGGAATCACTGATCACCACTGGGTTTCAAAAATTCAAGGTGCTCTGAAGGTACAGGTAATACAAGAATATTTGGATATCTGGGAGAAGGTAGAAGCTTTCTCTCTTCAGCCAGGGCGAAAGAACAATTTATTTGTCGCTGGTCTGCAGACCGTCTGTATTCAGCATCTTCTGCCTACAGAGCAATCTTCATTAAAGGCAATTCACATGGCAGGTGCAAAAGAACTTTGGAAAGTTAAAGCACCTCCCAAACTTAAGTTTTTTGTTTGGTTAGTCCTCCAAGATCGTTGCTAGACCATGCAACACAGGAAGCGCCATAAGCTGCAGGACCATGAGTTTTGCGTTGTGCAGTCAGGAGTTAGAATCCATTGATCATCTTCTTGGTTTTTGTTACAGTCGGGAGGTTTGGTGGTGCCTACTTTCGTAGCTAAGCCTATCATACCTTGTACCACACCCTGAGCCTACAACTGCACAATGGTGGCAGGTGACTAGAAAGAAGGTGCACAAGCAATTCAGGAAAGGGTTTGACTGCTTGGTGCTGCTGGTTACCTGGCTGCTATGGAAGGAGAGAAATGAGAGTTCACAGAGAACTATTGCGGTCGCTGACTGTGCTCACCCATGCAATTGTGGAGGAAGCTCTCTGGGCTTTGTCAAGTCTTGTTACTAACTCTTTTTAGCACAGGTTTCAGTTTAGACCCGAGGTCATTTCAGTGGCGAATTAGCTATGCACTAAGTCCTTAAAAATACTCTTGGGTCCATTTTTCTCTGGGTAAGTTTCATGGCTTACCTAGTTCTTGTAATCGCTGTTTGTTTCTCTCCCTCTTCATGAAAACACGCCCTTGGCAGTCGCTAAAAGGAGCCCTACACAAGGAGAGAACCTACTACCCTATGATACCAGAATTTCCAGCATGGTGACCAAGTAGTTAGTGATGGATTGCCTTCTCTTCTCTGCCTACCAGTCTACTACCGCATGAAAATCTCATCTCTTCCTAGGTGGTGAGTTTATTTGCCTTCTGTCTCTCCGGGCTCGGCCTATGACATCTGCGGCCCGTATTCAACCTGGCCAGCATATGTCAGACAGCCCAGCAACGGTCCCGGCCCACAAGGCGACAACGCTGCTCTCCCTTGCAGGACCGTCGCACTCCGCCCTCGGAACCAAACAACGCCGGCCGGACGTCCGTTCACTCGAGCGATGGCGGAGATCGCCGGCGACGAGGCCCCAACGCCTCCTCCTCCTCCACCTATCTCGGGCGAAGTCTCCAGAGACCCGTATACTTTACTCCTGCCTCTACCGGCAGCAACAAGCCGCCGTTGCGCACGACGAAGCCCGGCGTGAAGCGCCTCATTCTCACCGCCTCCGTCCTCCTCTCCTTTCTCGTCGGTACTACCCACGACCTCCTCTATGCTATGGCTAGTGTTTTTGTGCACATCCCATCTTCTCTGTATAACTCGCTCACACCTCTGTATGTCTCTCTTTAGGACTGCCCTTCCTGCTGAAATCTACCGAGATCCATCGTTCGCCGCTGCCTTCGGACGCAATTACGGCACTCGCCCACCGCCTCCACTCCACTCCGCCCTCCTTCCCATGCGGCCTCCACGCGGTCTTCTTCCTCCGCTCGGTTCCCGATCGCTCTGATGCCTCCCTCACCCGTCGCCTTGAGCAGTCGATTTCGGCCCAGCTCCATCTTCTCCCAGCCACTTCTACTGCCGGTAATGTCTCGGTATCAGTCACCGTTGAGTCGGCTGGTGGCTGCTCAGCAGCAGCAGCAACGTTGGCTCAGGTTGGCAGTGTGGCACTGTGACCAGTGCAGACCTGGTGATTGGCGATGAGGTGTTCGATGAATTGCTGCACTCAGCTTTAGGCAGCGGCAGATGGGATGGGTCTATGGTTTACACTGTTGTGGTTGTGGAGACTGATGATGCAGAGGGTATGAGGGTGGTTGTTGGGAAGCACCGGCATGCTTGGGTGGTTGGAAAGGCTGATGAGGTTAAGGCTGTCTCAGTTATTGGCAAGGTATTTGCCAAGTATTTCATGAATGGGGGTATTGAGGAGGGTGAGGCAGGCATTGGGAAAGGCGAGTTCATGCCAGTTGGTTCAGATGGAAATGTTGTTCTATCCTTTAGCTTGTTGAATGCTGATCCAAGTGATTGGGTGTATGATTGGTAAGAACAAAATTGCAGCAACTCTGCTATACTAATTTAGTTCCGCTGTTGCTTTATTGTTGTGCTAATATCCCTTCCATATCAAATTGCTATAAAGATTCAAATTTTATCTTCTATGTTAGATGTTTAAGTACAAGTAACGCATACAACATATTATATATTAGACTGCATCAAGAAGGTACTTGTGCAAAACATTCATTTATCTAGACAATGGGAATATGGTATATTTCTTATTTACATCAGTTAGATGTCCTGTAGGCTATGTTTAGCTTCCTGAAAAATGAAACCTATTTTCCTTTGTTGCTGCCGCTGTTGGAATTTTCGCACTTAGGCATTCTACATGCAGGGATTTTGAAAAGATTGGCTTAGAGGATGTTGAATCCTGTGGTTGAGGCGCCATGCACCAATTGTGGAAATCAATATAGAAAGTCAGGTGCTAATTTGCATTAAACTAAGCTACCTTCTTCCATTTCTTATGAAATGCTGATATTCCCTTTTTGTTTAGGATTGTCGATTTTAATAAGTAATAATCATATCACTTCTTTTCAGGTTTTGTACCACACTCCTAAGTCGTCCTTTTCTTATTTTGATGATAAACTGGGTGGCAATGTCCTTAGTATGGGAGACATTCCTTTCTTTGTATGTGTCTAACTTGTCTTGTAGAAACTATTTGCTCTTGATTGTACTGCATTCTATCGATAGCTTGCCACAAGCAGCTATAGTGATTAACTGCGAGATCCAAAAATTTAATCACTCCATGAAAAATATGACGTTGGCAGGTAAACTCAAATGAGTGGCACTTGGATACATCAATTTCAGCTACAGGACGATCAAAAGTTCTTCAATTTGTGGTGTATGTTCCTTGGATCAAACTCAATTATTGACCTCTGCTTTTTTTGTTTTGTTTTTGTACATTAAACTTTACTCATTATGTTACATAATTTGTTCTCTTCAACATACTTTCCTTCCTTTTTTTACTATTACATCATCATTTTTCCTTTGTCAAACTTCTGGTAGATATAACGTGTCCATGATGTTTGTTTTTTCTTTTGAAAATTGATGAAAGCCTAAGAACCCAACCCGTTACAGAAAAAGTCATGTTTTCCCCTGTATTTCTGAATTTTCAAGTGTCAAGTGTGCACAGATAAAAAAACATCAGCTTGATGACTCATTTATCAAGTTTTCTTATTAGTCGTAATTTATATACAGTCCAAAACGCCAAACCAACACCAAAAGCTAACTAAACCATTACAAACAAGAGAGAACTAAACTATGATAAAAGTTTGTTATTAGAGTACAAATGTTTCTGGATGCTCTGCTGAACTGTTTATTCAATAATCATCAGATACATTCCATCTGCAAGGGAATGCCCATTATATTTGCAACTTCCTGATGGCGGGCTTTCAAAAACTAATGCATTTATATCCCCTGTAAGTGGTACTATACCTAGCTGTCAAAAAAAAAAACTTATATCTTTTACCCATCTTGCTATTTACTTAACAGCATTATTCCGTTACATAGATGTGGGGAGGTGTTCTTATATGGAACCCACCAGACTGTTCACTTGGTTCCAAGAGGACTCATGGTACCTGGAAGAAAATGTCATCTCAGGTGTGTGGATTTTATCATTTTATTGCATCTTTGATATCCTAGCATTTTCATATGCGAAGGCCACCCTTTCGAGTTCTGAAATACCTTCTTTGCAATTGCATTATTTGTTGAAATGCCTATATGAAACAGGAACTTATGGAGACCCTCGAAATCTTCATTGGACAACTAAGGCAGTTGTTTGGTCTAAAACCATCTTATCTCTCACAAGATATGGGCGTGCCAACTAAATTTGTAGTTAGTGAAAAGGGGTTCACAGAATGGTAAATATTTTCTCAACTGGCTTACTACATTTAGCATTCATTTTTCTATGGTGAAGCATAATATTGCACAATCTGTAATATCCCATTTTCATTGCCGCATGGAACAACATTTGGTGATAATTATTATCGTTCTGATGCCACACTCTGCATATAGTTGCATCACATTGCTGGTACTCAAATCATTATACAATGGGACCATCTCAGCCTTTAAACATTGAGTGTAAGATCGATCAGGATGAACCAGGCTTTAACCAAAGGTAGATGATCCCAATGTCTAGATGTTCTAGTTCTAGCAGTTCATATGAAAACAACTGTTGACAGTTGCAAATCATATGTTTGGTGGTATGCGTCCACAAACAATTCTGGTTGACCCATAGGGTTGATTTTTGAACTTTTCAAATTCTGAGTCTCTGCCCCCAAGAAATGAACACCTAAAGCTCTAATGGTTATGTTTCTTACTCCCTCCTCTCTTTTTCCCTCGCAGGGAGTTAGATTTATTATATCGACACCATGCATGTTCCAATCTGCTGTCATGCCTCACCACGTTGGAGTCTCTATCCAGTCTGGTATGACCCATTTGAAACCAGTGCTTAATGATATACAAAAGGCTGATCTGCATGCAGGCGTCACTAATGTTATTATGTTGCCAGGTCTGCTCTCTCCCAAGAATGATTGTCATGGATGAAATTGGAAGACAGGTTCTACCTTCACCACTCTTGCTAGATGGGAGCTCATTGATCTATAAACTAGTTTTAATTTTCATCCTTCTGGTTATGCATGCTTAAAGCAACAGAAGTAACGTTACACTCAGATAATATGTTTGTTTAAATATTTCACTGAACCTGCATCGCATATGTATCCTATGTGTTATTGCATCTTACCTTGTACTTAAAACACTTGTGCATGGGTTGATCTGATTGTTTACGATTTTGTTTATAGTATATGATCAGTTAATAGCGAGCTTAAGCTGTGTTTGTATCTTACCTTTATTACTTTGAGACAGTTATGCATGGGTTGATCTGATTGTTTACTGATTTTGATTATAGCATATGATCAGTTAATAGTGAGCTTAAGCTTGTTCCAACCATTTTCATTTTCTTTTCCAGGTTGAGCTTTCTCTTGAAGCTGCAAATTTAGCTCAGGGAATGCAACTCTAGGGATAAGCGATTAATTTCAGCAGGCAAGTTGATTTATAATTCATTTCTTATAATGTCCTTGCACTTTTATAAACATTTGCTGAGATTTGTGCTGATGTACAGTATCTGCAATAAGAGCCAGGCATTGGCTGAAGATGCATTTTTCCATCCATCCATTATGTCAATCAGTTATGCTTCAATAGAACACTATTTTGCCATTTACATGGTCAGTACACTGTTGCAGACTTGCGTCAGTTTTCCAAACTTTTATGATGGTACTCATTATTTTTTTTTATCCTGAAAGTAAAGTCAACAACCTAGTTATAGTTCAATTCTTCAATCATCTATTTTAAAATCTCAGATTATAGCTTACCAATCTGCAACTCATTTTATCAAACTATAGAGTGGTGAGATGACAACTGTATAGCATACATCAAAATCCATGTGCATGTTAATCAGTTCTACATTTCCATACTTTCTGCAGCCATTTTTCGCACCAGTTTCCTTGCATGTGCTGCTGGCGGCAATCAAAGAGCTGAAACGTTACAAGGCAGAGCGAGCAAAATATTCCGCATTTCTTGCTTCCCAGGCGACATCGTCCTGATCTGGTGGTGATTAACACGGATTTGCATCAGAAAAGTCTGAAGATTTATATGAAGCTGATGGCCGCTATTGGTACTGCACATAGTGGAGAGCGTGCAGCACTGCAGCGTCACTTGTTCTGATGCTCATGGAAATGGTTAGGACGTCCAGGTGATGTCAGGCAGAGAGCTATACTTGTCATGAGGTGAAGTGCTTGTAAAGCTAGCTGCATGCTGTAACATAGTCAAAATTTCAACCAGTTGAAAAGTTCTCGTTACTCAAATTTTGTTCTTAGATACCTCATACGTACTCACATTGAAGGGGGTTTTTTTTCTAGATTTAGAAAAGATGCACATTAAGATTCCAGATCGAAGGCGCTGCGAAATCAGAGCGTCTGACAACCGAACAAACCAGTGTTGCTTTAAGTATTAATTACGAGAGGTTTGATGAAACATGTTTTGGTATGCTTTGAAGTTTGAACAGAAAGCTAGTCTTGTGTCAAAATGCAAGGAATTTGGATTCTTGAAACTCGTTCACTTTTCCCCTAAATACAATGAAAATATTACAAATGATGAAGTGAGCCACGCTTGTAAGTGAATTTGTGTCAAATGCTTTGAACAGAAATCTTCATAAGTTCTTCGACTAAGCATAAGAGAACCTTTGAGAATGAAAACATGCAGTTAGCTTCTTTATATATGGCGTGTCTTATTTTTGGTGGAGCAAAATTCACCGTCGGTCCCCGAACTTGGCCGGAGGTGTCATTTATGTCCCTCAATTTCTAAAGTGATATCTGTTGTCCCTAAATTTGGCAGACGGTGTCATTCCAGTCCCTCGAACTTTCAAGTTAATCACCATAGGTCCCTAAACTTAGCCGACTTTAGATCATCCCGGTCCTCGGACTTTTAAGGTGAATACCAGAGGTCTCTAAACTTGACGAAGCGGTGTCATCCCTATCCAATTGTAATAATACTAAACGTTACATGTAGTATTAAAAGTTTTCTATTAAATTTTACTTTAATTTTAGTATTATTTTAAAAGTTTTAATAGTAGTATTATAGAAGTAATTTTCTCTATTATTAATACTATAACATTAATGATACATAATTTATATTTTTCTATACGAATTTTAATATTATTTTAGTAACTTTAATACTATAGAAATTTAATATTATTTTAATACTATTAATGATACATAAATATTAAATTAATTTTAGTATTTTCATTTTAGTTTAAACCTAATATATTTGTTGTTGTAAATTATTTTAATACTTAATTTTTTTTTGTCGATGTAAATTATTTTGAATAATTTATATTTTCATGATAAATATTATATAAATAATGATTAATTAATTAACACATGTTGGATTCACGCTTAACGACAACACCGCTGCGCCATGCCAAACTTTATAGAGTAGGTTAGACCACATTTGGACAGTAGATGATACCGCTTGTAAAGTTTAGGGACATGTGACCATCTTAAAAGCTCGTGGACCGGGATAACACAAACTGCCAAGTTCAAACGTATGATGATCATCTTGAAAGTTCAGGATGCGTCTCAAGCTCAACCAGATCACCAAGTAGACGAAAGGGAGAGGGCAAGACTTTTGCGGCTCTCTAGTAGTACTTTCCCAGCACTGGCTTGGCTGTTTCTGTCTGCATGCACAGCCATCGTCGTTCAGTGACTGATATACATATGCGATGGCATAAAATCTACCAGACATGGATGGATGCTGAATCAGATTTAGTTGTTATACTTACCGCCTCTATGAGATGGTAATGTGGGATCTGCGGGAAGAGATGGTGGATTACATGAGTCCTGATGTCATGGTGGATGTTGTTGATCCATCCGTAGTCCCGGTCGAGCGTCGTCAGGCCACCCTGAAGATAGGTCCATTCCTAGCTCATTAGTATAGCACAATTAATTAACTGAAAGCTGCAGCTGTGGACAATGCATGCATAGTTGCACTGAATTGTGACAGGCCTTTATATTAGTTCGCCTAGTAGTCAGTAATTCTAGTTTAGCAGTTTTACTGCTGGTGGAAAGTAGCTATACAGCAATTCCTGGAAATATATTAGCTAATTTGGAAGAAGGGGAAAGCACACACAGGATGGAAAACCTCCATAAATAACTAAATGGTTTGGAGCAAAACAAGTACAGAAAAGAAAACAACATATTATCAGTGTTTCAAACAAACACCGCCAAGAATTTATAATTATTAAGATTAGGCTCGGATGGCACAACTAAAGGACACAAGGTTTATACCGGTTCGGCTGAATATCCCACGCCCATTCAAGCTGCCGCCAGTGTTATCAAAGTGTAAAATGGTTCAGAGTAGGAGTGCAAACGGTCGAGAGAAGGAGAGGTCCCAAGTCTCTGGATGGAATGGTCGAAGGAGCCAAGAGCTTGGTCGCTACTTGGTTGTATGCGTGATGTGTTGTGTCTGCTGAACCGATCTCCCTTTGGGGTGTCGTGGCCCTCCTTTTATAGACCAAGGGGAGCCGGAGTTTATGCACTGGAGAAAGAGGGAAAAACTCATTGTAGTCGCTTTTCGCCCTTAGAGGTGTCGCTTCCTTTTCCCTCGAGCCTATTCCAATCACATGGCGTGACTATGGCAGGTGGATAGCGTGGTCCGCCGACTCGACAGGCCATGCCTCGCCTTGCTTCTCCATGAAAGTGGTTACGCTCTCGCCCCTCCCCAGACGCGCATGGTGTCGTACGCCGAGCCGTGACTCAAGGAGGTAGATCGGGAAATGACTATATCACTGGCCATCGAGATGATGTGAGTTCTTCCTTGATTGTAGCGGTTGTCGATCTCGTGTTAGTATCCGCTACTCGAGGTCAAGGCACGCGCTTACTACACTGTGGGGACAAAAGTCGCGCCTACAATACTATTCGGGCACGCCATGTTTGAGTGGCTTAAAGCGTCTCATTCCATCAGATTCCCGATGGTACCTTTCGCAGCGCTAAGGCAGGCATGGCCCTCGACTAACGTGGGTTGACTCAATGTCATGCCGCACTGCGGCTTGTCTTTATGAAGGATCGCAGGCACTGTCATGGCGAGGCGGAGTTCAGCCCTTAGCCACTGGGCGAGGCGGAACTCTGCTCCCCGGATCGCCGGGCGAGGCAGAGCCCATCTTAGCCATTACAGAGATGCGGAGCTCAGCCCTTTGGACGCCGGGCGAGGCGTGAGCTCACCCTTAGCCATCGGGCGAGAGAGAAGCTTCAGTCCTTGGGGGCGCAGGCAGGAGCCCGGCCTCTGGGACGCTTCGGACGAGGATGAGTTCAGTTTTTAGCCGCTTAAGCGAGTGCAGCCCACTCCCCATCGCCTCCAGGCGAGGTAAGAGTGAGCCCACTGAGCCATTGGGCGAGAAGTGAGCCCAGCCCCTGGACGCCGGGCGAGGTGGAGCCCACCTCACCATCGCAAGCAGGCTGAGCTTAGTCCTTGGGGTCGGGCGGAGGAACCATCTTCCGCCGCTCGGGCAAGAAGCGCAGAGTGTTCTTGTTCCGACCTGGAAGTGTCAACGCTCGATGGTTATTAGTTCCACCTCATTGGGTACCTCAGATTAGGTCCCTAGGGGGTAATTTTGACCCTTCATGCAAAAGGTCGTGAGATTTGGTTTTATCAACTGCGTATAGTTTTAAGGGAACCTCGTATCCTGCTCACAGGATTTCGGCCCTGGTCACTTGGCTTGGCCTCGATCATGGTCTGTAGACCCCACCGATGCTCAGGTTCTCGAAGTCCCGGTTTCAGGGCCCATCCCTTGTTGGGACGGGCTGATGAGACGGCTGCCGGGCCGCCTTTGACTTTCCGAGCCCTAGACAGCCGTGAGAAGAGGCCTTTTGACCCGTGATTTCTTGGAAAAAGAGTCCGTGTCTATTTGGGGGAAGACGAACTGCTCTGCTGCGATTTTGTGGGAAAGGATAGGATCGTATGCCAGATCCCGTGATGTGACGCGTGGTGTGTCGGGTGGGCTCGAGATCAAGGCGATCTGCTGTCTTTCTCGCATCCGTCACCTCTCATAAAACCGCTGGGTTCGCCTTCAGGGTTCCAGATTGCCTCCCCGCCTCAGATTCTACCACCTTGCCACCAATCGCTTGAGCCTCCTATTAACCATATACATCAAGTCACTGCTATAGGCTCGTGATCTCATCGCAACTACCGCCGAGCTCGATCCACCCCCTTCCCCGCTGTTTAATGGAGCCTATGGTGCAGATCCAAAGATTACTCCCTCAACATACCGAGGGCCTCGGCCCTGCCGTGGGCCTCTTCGGCCGTTGTCCGCAAGCCGTAGGTGGCATGCCCGGTGATGAGGACAAGCTGCCGCCACCAAGGGTAAGGTGTACAGTCCTTTGCTCTTCCACGAGCGGGATTCGCCGTGCCCTCTCATAAGTTCCTTTCGTAATGTTGGAGTACTACCAGTGGAGCTACAAAGACCTT